AAATCTTCAGCATAAATAACGAAAATTCTAACAAGCGAAGACGAACATTGCAGTGAAATTTCACAAAATAAAAAAATTGTTTCTCTTTTTTTGAAATACTTTTCTGCCGGCTAGGTAGCAAAATTTTTCATGCAAAAAAATTCAGGAATACACCATAAAGATGAAACTTAATAATAAACTGTAGAAAAATTTTTTTGTGAAAAATTCTTGTCTTTTGTGAAAAATTTCTGTATTATTTTGTTCACTTCTACATATGTCGGCAACTTTTGCTTTCTTTCTCTCTTTAATCGCAACGCTAGTTTCTCTAAAGAAAAACTGATTGAATTTTCTTGTCTTTTATGTAACGCAACTGCATTACGAACAACGTCAAGATAATCTAACTGTTAAATAAGTAACTTTTAAGCAATAGATATACAAAAAATCGGCTTCTACTAAGAAAAAAAAGAACTAGAAGAGACTTCGGTCTGTTTATATTACAATACTCTTTGAAGAATTTGAAACAAAACTTTTTTGAAAAGCGACACTACGTTTTGCTGAAAATGAGGCAATGAGAAGTGCTTCATTGGTATCAGTCTTCGCAGAATCAATTTACAATCGAAAGTGGGAAATACTAATTAGTGTGAGCTGTTATAGCAAATATTTTGTTGATTACATTCTTGGGTGATGGAAAATTAGGCGTTGCAAAACATTCAAGCTGCACTTGGGCGGGGGGGACCTTGTATTCATCATAGACAAAATCTACTTAGTAATAACTTAGGTAATGTGTGATTACACCTTCAAGTCAAGTAGATCTATTTTAAAAGATAATACATTAGTTCAGCAGTCAAAAAAAATTCACTTCCTATAGAGATGTAAAAAAAGCGTTCAGTCTTTTCTTATGACAGGATTTACGTCGAACATCTCAAAGACGTGTTGCACTAGAAGGAAACAAACTGCCTTCTTCTCTAGAAACCAAAATTCTGTAATATTCACTGGGTAAAACATAACACGGAAAGGTAATTGATAAAGGTTGATCGTTCCAACAGATCAACATTAAGAAAGAAGTCGTTGTATAACGATACACAATCACGCGAGGTTGACCAGCTAATTTTCTTTTTGTAACTTTTATCGTCCAATATTCTTGAATTTTGATTTAATACATTATCAAATGTTATTTTTTGTTCTTATTGCTATAAATCATTTATTACTAATTTCATGATTTAATGTTGTGTTTTCTTTTTTTT